ATTGAGTAAACTTTAAGGGATTAATTGTGCTTAACCCCTATCCATATCTTATCATGTGACCCTAAGTATGTTATTGTTTGAAAATAATACTAGGAAGAATTGACTAACAATGGTAATTAGGGTACCACCGATAATAAGAATTTTTTTTCAATTAATTGTCATTATCTGCATCTACTCTTGCTCATATTCTAACCTATTCTAGGTGAATGGCTCAACCGAGTCACAGGAACCGACGGGAAACCGACAATGAGAATGAAATGGTTATTCTTGATAATAAAGTACTATTGAAGCGGAGAACTTTTGATCCAATTTGCTATCAAAATTGCTTTCAATGATGTACTAACATTGACTCTCAAGTTTGGTAAGCCCTTTCCAAACCTAATGTCTGCAGTTGAAGAAAACGTGTGGTGGAACATTGGAAGTGTACTCCAAGCACACAATCACAATGGAGCTTAAAGAAACAGATGCTGCAAAATTCCTTTTGAGTTCCTCAATTTAAGACAATTCATTGTCCTTGGAACCACCAATGTTTTCTTATTCATCATTCGAGTGGAGCAGCAAAAAGATCTCAACAAAATTTTCTTCTTCATGACTTGTCAACATAGGTACTAGCACCTAGCAAGTTGGGTCCTCCTTTAACAAGGGGACTTTGACTGAAGATAACATAAAGTGTGGTAATTTGTTGTCTGTAATCATTTATTCTATCAAATAGTGGAAGTGCCCCAACCACTCAGCTTTAGTTCAGTGATCACGTACAGGGATTAAATTTTTGCTTGGACCATAAGTTAAAGTTTCGAATCTCACCTACTTTAAAAAAATTGTCAAAACATCTTTTTAATCTAATTATACCTGTATATTTGTTACATCTTACGTAACCTCGCCTTCCTCCTTTTCCAAGCATATGTTTCACTGTTAAAAATCTGTCCTTTTAATTCTTTTTTCTTTTTTTATTTTTGGATTTAGGTGCTTTAGCACTTCCATAAATTAACTTGTCACAATTGAGCCTCTTCAATTTTGCTTTTTCTCAATTTCATCTTTGAAAAATTAAAATTTTGAGTCAATTTTGCTTGTTGCCGTAATCCTTCTAGTATTTAAGGAAAAATAATCTATCAAAATTCATTAATCACTCGAGCGGCCTTTAAGGAACTCACAAAATTTGCAGAAAATTTATTCACATCACACCTTTTGATGGAAAGAGGAAAAAAAAGTCTCTCATTTTTCACGTAATATGTCATAACCTTGCTCGTGAACTCTTTAATCCTTCCACTATTTTTTACGCGGTTTCACTCCTTTTTTGTCGTTAGGTTATATGGTATTCTTTGCTTAAATCAGCTGTTTTTCCTTTACAAAAAATGATAAAGTTGTGGTGGGTAGTGAAATTTAAACGAAACTTAACTGTTGAATATAATATGGGGATAAGCAAATTAAAAAATCCAATCATCAGCGAATGCGAATTGTAAATTGTAATTTTTGATCTCCTTAGACTAGAATCTGTTGATTTACTAATTTCCATCCCAAATTAGTGCATGCTAATTATTTTACCCCATAAGCGCCGTTTCCGTAAATAATTATGGCAAAATTATAGTGACAAGATAGATTGATGAAAAGTTTAACATTTCGAGGGGGCCACATGAAAATAAGCAAAATTTAAGGGATTCAATTAGGTCATATAATTATATAAATGATAGTGGCACATTGCTATTCTTTTTTCTTTTTTCCTCACTTGCGGTTGAAGAAGATTGCTCCAATTAAGGGGCTTTTATACCGGCATCTTGGTTAGGTAACTCGAAGTGTTCAAACCTACGAGTTTCAATGAGTGCATTTGCTCGGACCATCTGAAGAATTAATAGCAGTTGCAATGTCAGCATATGCTAAGGTCTTGTAGTGGAGTTCAGCGTCAATTGGTAACTGATCAAGTACAATATTTTTGCCAGTCCACCTTCACTTAAAACTGATTTGGTTAGGTTGTGACCAGTGATAAAGGTCCTACCTATAAGACCATAGGTTTCAGTCAATTGAAGTATGGTAACTTAAAAAAGAAAACCCAAAAAAGTTCGACTTCATGGCTTTTTTTTTAAAAAAAAAAAAACTGGTAAAGGAGGGTTGGAAATTAAGAAGCGAGAAGGGACAAGAAATCAACTCCACGGATTTTTAAGTGGAAAGTTTTGAATCCAAAATCTCATACTTAAAATCTCTGTTTTGAAACTCGGACCGGACCGGCGGTCGAACCGATCGAACCGAGAACCGGCCAGGTAGCCGGTCCGAGTCATATTAAAAAACCGGAAATTTAAAATCCGGTCAAAGCCGATCAAAAATCGGGTTTGACCGGACAAAAACCGGTTTTTCCGGTTCATCAGTAATTTTTTTTTAAAAAAATTTAAACTTTTTAATATTATGTTTTGACCCCCTAAATTGTTAAAACTTATTGATATACCTCAAATATTTGATACTTTATAAATATTGTCCTAAAATTTGATGTTATTTTTCAATTAAATTCATAATTTTAATTCTAAACTTGTTAATATTTATTAAATAATATAAATTGCTACTTCATTGTTCTAATTTCTTTGTATTTTCTTGTTAAATATATTTGAAACATCAAATATATATGAATATACATTTATTAATATCAATATATTATTAGATATTATATATAATATTTTAATTTTTAAATAATTTTTATTTATGACGTCATCCGGTTCGACCCCTATCGACCCCCGGTCGAACCCATTGACCCCTGACCCCTGACCTCGGCCGAATCGCTATCCGGTCCGGTTCTGAAAACATAGCTTAAAATCCCTTCCATCTTATCATTGAACCTAACTTTTCCCAGTTTCATGGGTAGTTGGTTGATGCCTTACAAAAGTTTAGTTTTTTTTTTTTTTTGTCTATTCAAGGGAGATTTTTCAATTAGGGGATACTTTCAGAAACTTTCCGTGAGATTTCTAACTATTTCACTAGCCTCCCTCTAAATTTTAAAAATTACATTATCCTCTCTTGAGATTTATTATCTTGTAACATTTAGATCCAACTAACAATTAAAAAGTGTTATTAAGAGAGAGAAAATAATATAATTTCACCATTATCCCTCATCCATTTACTGTTTATCATCAGGAATGAAATCACATATGATATAAAAAATAGTGTATCATTCTGTGTATTTCACTTAATGTAAGATCCAAATTGCTCTTTTCAATTACAAACTCATTGTCAAACATGATCAACAACGAATAATAAAAAAAATCTGTAACTAAAATACTACAAAGAGCCAATTTTAATATCATAAAAATCTCAGTAACTAAGTTTGATATGTTGACAAGAATATTTATGATATTAAAGTTTGCTCTCTGTAATATTTTGATCGCAAATTTTTTAATTATTTGTTGTTAATCATGTTTGACAATGGTTCTGTAATTGAAAAGAGTAATTTGAATATTGTATTAACTAAAAAAATATATATATAATGGTATACTATTTTTTTTATACTATATATGACTTGATCCCTAATGATATACAACAAATTTTAGTATTTTTCTTTAAGGTGTGGGTTGATATTAAATTAATTAAATAATATAGTAGATGAGGGACAATGATAACATTATATTATTTACTCTCTCCTAATATTATTTTTTAATTATTGATTGGACCTAAATATTATAATATAAATAATCTCAAGAAAAGTTAGTGTAATTTTAAAAAATAAGAGGGAGTCCAGTGAAATAATCAGAAACCTCAGCGAGGTTTCTAAAATTATGCCTATAATTAAATCTTACAATTGATAGAGACAACTTTGAAAGTTGACGTTATCTAATACCTTTTAGGTTTCTGAAATTATGCCTATAATTAAATCTTCCAAATGATAGAGACAACTTTGAAAGTTGACGTTATCTAATAGCTTTTATTAACCACTCCCACACCAATCCCCACCAAAAAAAAAAAAGGCAAACGAAGCGTAGTAGATGGACAAAAGGATTCTCTTCACATTGTCGGCTACTCGTTGCAGTTTGGGCCTCATAAAATTGAATCCCTGACTTTCCCTGGGCCATCCCATGTTGGTGTAGACCTAAACTTCTGTTTGTGCCTTCCTATCACAGCCTCTCTATTATTCGGGCCAGATATCAGGGCAGGAGTACCATCTAAATAACCATTCGCTGGTGTCCAAAATGGGTACTAGGCCTGATTAATCTACGGGGGATTTTAAAAAAGATAATTATCAATTCTTTTTAGCTCATCAATGTTATGGGTTTGAAATCCGTTCCCCTCCGAAAGTTAATTTGCATTTGGGTGGAGTGAAACTAAATGAAAATTTGAATCTTGAATGTTTATGCGATTTTTCAAGATTCAAAAAGTTTTTCACCCTCCAACGAACGAAAAGATTCAAGTTAATATATGGCGCAAAGCCTTTTGAACAAAAAAAATCACGAAAAAAAATAAGATCCGTTATATGATATTATGATAATTTATTAATTTATTGATAATTAATGTCCAAAGATTTAATTCAGACGCTCGTTTAATCCTTCTTTTAACATGATTTGAATTTCTTGTAGCTAGAAGCCAAAAAATAATAAGGGATTAAAGCATTAAATCTCCTAAAGTTTGGTGTCATTTGCATTTTAACCTCTAAAAACAACATTAAAGAAAACTAACATAAAGCTAGAAGCATTTTACAATTCACGTTTTTAAAATTTTTATAAAAAAAAATCTTCTTTTTTTTTCGGTGTGTCTTTTTTATATAGCAATTTTATTTCAATGACGAAACAAAAACATCTTTTCCATAATTAAAAGCTTGAATATCTAATTTACCTTCATTTCTAGTAATTAAAAGCCAATGCAAATGAATATCTAATTTACCTTCACTTACATGTCAAGTATCAAAAAGTAAATGTTCAAGAGAAATGTTGAATTGATAGATTGTAGTAAGAAAGAAAATCAAGAGTCTTTCCAGAAGAAAAGTTAACTAAAGCAGGGGTAACTAAAACAGATGCTATTGAGTTGAAAAATTGCCTCGCAATGAATCAGGGAAGTAGAATTATCAAGCAATCATCAAAGCAGACAAAACAAAGTATCCATTATCAAATCCCATTATGCACGAAAGTGAAACCACAAGTACAAACAAACAAACAAACAAACAAACTAGTTGCCAAACAGCATGAAACACAAGCTAGCCATCAGCCAAAACAGAAACGAGTCAGGCTAACCATTATCATATCCCAATTTGCTTTTATTACAGGAATCTTTGGCCCTCCAGCAACAACCTCCTTGACAAAGTCCCAAGACAATAGCTAGTACACTAGTTGTATCAGAATTACCAGCTTTGTGAAACACTGCTAGATTTCTGAATCTCCATGTATAGCTGACTGCAACAAAAAGAAGCCTTCAGTGAACACCCAACCTCCACAGCTCTTCATGATAGGGATGATGCAAAGGTGGTGATCTTGCAGAGAATGAGAAGTCGCTGAAGTGAAAAACCCAATCCACCCACTAAACGAGCTGGGTTTACTAACCCATCCCGTCAAAACCCATCACCCAAATGACCCAACCCAACCTTTAAATTAAGTGGGCGGTTTGGACGGGTTGTTGGGTTCTGGGTTTTATTGCCAACCATAATAAAAAGTACAAACAAACAGATTACAGAGCTTCATGTAAACTATGTAACAGACCTTCAAAGAATACAAGAGTACAGAGGGATCAGTTACCAAGAGTCAATACACCTTTCTATGTAGCTTTCCAAGATGACAGAGGCGGAGTATTTGCAAATCTCCAAGTATTTGCCATTATAGCAGGTGGGTATCTGTCACCCTTTGCTGCATTAGCTGAAGCAATTGATTCAAGCTCTTTCATTTCTTCCGGTGTCAACTTCACCGATAAGGCCTTGATGTTGCTCTCCAGGTTCTCAATCTTGGTGGTGCCAGGAATGGGACAGACGTCGTCCCCTTGATGATGAACCCATGCTAAGGCCAATTGGGATGGAGTACAACCCTTTCTTGTTGCCAACTGAGCAACCTGCTCGAACAGCTTGTTATTGTGCTCAACATTCTCCTCCTGAAACCTTGGGATCCTCTACAAATGCAGCAAACATTTGCTGTAAAACATTAAAATCATATAGACTGATTGTACCCATGCACCTGTGCTTTGCTTTTCAAAATCTAGCCCAAAAGCATCACTTACTAAGAAGGCACTTGTAAATTTTACCAAGAGAGTACATTCTCACCTCCGACCAGAGAATTAAATAAAAAAAAAAAGAAGAAGATGATGCCATGAAATCTTTTGTACTACTTACTTTCTAAATATCACTCCAGGCACATACATGCCAAGGTAAAAGCAACAAGGGAGTGCAAGAAAGTGTAATATGGGGATTGGACTAATATGTTAGTACAATCTCAGGGAGTTGTCACATGGTCAAAAAGCTAGAGTAACAGCAAATGTTCAATGACATTTCTGAAATTAATCTGCAGTTACCATAAGTTCAAACCAAATAGACTCAAGTTTTTAAGCGAGAAAATGAGATTTAAAATGCAGAGGATACTGTTTTACTATCTGCTTAACCATAGTGGATACTTATTCACTATGAGATTCACGAAGTATACTGAGGTACAGTGCTCGTTCCAGATCTTTGCTTTAAGATTAAAAAAAAAATGATGTGGTGCTTTTGCCTGTTTCTAAAAGATGCCCTGTCAGATATGGTGGCAGGGAAAGACAGCAGAGAGCATATGAAAAGGAAAATAAAACAATGTCGCCAGTAACTGCTTAAAAAAATGGAAATGTGACCAGTGACCAAACAGGATAACAGGTAGGTTTTTCATAGCAACAACTGGCTACATTTCACTTCTGAAACATAGACTTCAGAGAAAGTTCAAGTAACATAGCAAAGTCACATGAGCCAAACACAGGAAACTATAGTCAAGAGAACTTAGTCAAAAACAAGATAATAGGAAGATTTTTCTTACTAACGAACAACTGCTTCCATTTCAGTTCTGAAACATGGACTTCAGAGCAAGTTGAAGTAACATACAAAGTTAATTGAGAACCAAAAACAAAGGAAGATATACGCAAGAAAACTTTTGTATATTTTCTAGTAAATCTAAGGAAACCATGAATTCAACGTATTACGAATTCTGGAAAACACCCCATGGGCTGCAAGGAGGGGTCAACAATGGACTCAGATTACTAGATGTAATCTGCGATCGGAGTAAAATTTCACATTGCACAAGCCTTGAGCACATACCTTACGGAAGTCATTACTAGTCAAGTTCTCCGTCAACTTCGCACCAGATGCAAAGAATCCTCTGCCCAGAGGACTGAACGATACAATTCCTATGCCTAGTTCCCTATAATTAAAAATCATCCTGAATTAGTAAGCTGAGGGGGCAATACAAGCTCCCAACTATGGAAGATTATTATGTGGAGCATATCTTTTGGATGACTTACCTGCATGTGGGAATAACCACTTCCTCAGCATCTCTTGTCCACAAGGACCATTCTAGTTGCACAGCTGTTATGGGATGAACAGCATGAGCCCTCCTGATTGTTTCCGGAGAGGCCTCAGATAGACCTATGTATCTTACTTTACCCTCTTCAACCAGTTGCTTCAGAGCTCCAACCTAGAAGTTGCAGGTTATAGAAGGATTTCAATTCACAAATCTGTCTAATGTGCAAATCTATTTGTAATTTCACAACAAATACAAAAGCACAAGCGAAAAGGCTTGGGGACATCCATCAACTTCCGGTGAATACTTAAAAAAGCAGAGGACTACTAGCGCCTAACTAAGCTATAAAACATACACGAGTGATATTGCAAAGACATGAATAAAATTAAGAGAAAAAGAGGGGGGGGGGCATGAACATATTCTACTGTAGAATTAACCTGTTCTACTTGCATAGATTAGAAACGATGGAATTCAATCTTGGAAAATTCAATTCACTTCACAATAATGCAAGTTTATCCAATTAGATTCTCAAAATCAAATAGGAATCTACAGATTACATAAATAATACTGCAAAACTTAAAAACTCATTCTACACCATAATGAATTGTTCTGATCCCTCAGTAATGCTTGAGAATCTGAATGAATTAATCCAAGAAAGACCAATAAGATCTTTAAAAAGAAAAAGAACTAAAAAACAGACTGATAAGTATCAAGGGAAAAGTAATACAAACCATGATTTCAATAGGAACGCTTTAATTAATTTAATAGTTCTGAAAACAATAGTTCAATGTAATCCAAACAATGCTTAGCTGCTGTTTACTTGCATAGGCTTCAAATAAGGAAATAGATTTTCCCTTTTTTTTTGTGTTGTTTGTTGTGTTTGGGGGGGAGGTGGGGGGAATCATTGCACAGTAATGCAAATTTATCTAACTCTGTCAGCTCGAATTGACCAAATGTCAGCTCATTGAACTCACATTCAGTAAATCCTAGGACCCTATGGACTAAAACACACACACACCCACTCACCCACCCACACACACACAACCCCCCTCTCTCTCTTTTGTAGAATATTTTTACATTTCATAATAATTTTGGGAACTTCTCCTCATTCTAGAGCTCAAACACGGAACCATGGTTAGCATCAATGATAGCAAAACTTGCACAAACTGCTATATGACAAATTGCTCTGATTGATTATTACTAGAACTCGAACTGAATTAATTAATCCAAAAGAGATTGATGGAAATAGAAGACCACGAAAACAAACCGTGATTTCAATAGGAATCGTTCTGTCAATCCGATGAACAAAATAGAGATCAATATAATCAACATCTAGCCTCTTCAAACTGGCCGCACAAGCTTCCCTCACATAGTCTGGATGGCCACATGCTACATGTTCTCCAGTTGGCAAAATTCTTGACGCAAATTTCGTTGCAATTTGAACTTTCTCCCTTTCCACCCCCTTCAATGCCTACATCCACAACACTCAGATTAAATTACCAAAAAGCAAAATCCCCCAATAAAAAAAGGGAGAAATTTCCAACCACATCTCAGCTGAGTTAGTATAGGCATAAAAAAAATCCAAAAACAATATAAAAATCTTTACAAACAAAAATCCATCAATAAATCGAAAAAACAAAAAAGAAACAGAAATTGCATTTGGTCATCATTATACTTTCTTGAACCCAGAAAAAAAAAAAAAAAGAAGAGGAAGAGAAGTTGGTTTTGGCCATTTTGGCTTATGAGGTGTGACTTTACCTTTCCAATGAGGATTTCATTAGTATGGGGGCCATAGACATCAGAGGTGTCCAGATGAGTGATACCACTATTGATGGCATGGTGGATCAGCTTGATCATATCTGGCTCAGGTTTTGGAGGGCCATAGCTAAAAGACATTCCCATGCAACCTAAGCCTTGGGCTGACACCTCTAGGCCTTGTGATCCCAGCTTGATTCTCCTCACTCCTGCCGCCATTTTTGTCTTTATTGAGCTCTGTTACTAAATTTTTTCCAAAACCCTGCTGGCTTTTCTCCTCTACTGTTCAGTTAAGTATAGAAAGTAGAAAGTAGGGAGCGTCAAATAGAGAATTGGATGGTATGATGACGTAGTCAGTGAGCTCATCTAGTGGACAAATTGCAGACAAGATCCGGCACGGATCCGACTATCCGACTATGGTGCAGATGTCTGCACCAAATGAAAAGCTGCCTTCCAGCAGCTTAGGACACACTTGTTGGGAACAGTGGCGGTTCAGCTGGGCACCGGTAAAGCGGTGTAAGTTTGAAGTGACGTCTCCAGAGTGCAGCCCTAGTCCACTAGGAGTTGAGGACATTTTTTTAAGTGGAGTGTAGTTGTTTGTGAATTACTTGTAAAATTCACCATAGAGTGTAGTTGTCGATAAAAAAAAAATATAAATAGTAATAAAATATTATACTTACATTGTTGTAAATATGTATAAATAATTTATTTAGAATTATAAAATATTTAAAAAATATTATATCATTTTAGAACGATTGATCTGACAATTATTCCTGTCTCACCTCGTGCAGTTGAGGCACGGATTGTTGTTGCAGGCAGCAATTAATCATATGAAAAAGTTGACCGCCATTTGATAAAAAATGAAAATGTAGGGTTCATATGATATTTTATATATCGATTTTAACATTACGAGTGAAAATTGCAAAATTTATTTTATTTTTATAAAATTTTAAACGTGAGTTACATCTTGAATAAATTCAAATAAATTGCACGTGGAATCGAATAAAACTGACATAAATAATTTTTTCTGACAACAGCGCCTCTTGTCCGGCGTGAGGAGCGTGGAATGGGGCCGGAGTGCCGGACAAATTGTAAAATAAGATCCGGCAAAAAGTGGGCACGTGATGCTATATATAAATTAATCACCAGAATCGGATTTCTTTCATGGCCCTTCAATCTCCTTATTTTTTTTTTTCACTCTTAATTGTGCTGTCACTAACTGACTAACACACACAACTAGCCGGAAAAATCAATTAGATTTTTTTTTAAAAAAAAATTCCAGCAAGAGATGAGTGAAATTTAAAAAACAAAAAGGAAATCGAGTGATCAGAATCCAAAAAACCTCTGAACCAAAGTCTCATAGACTAATTTATTAGTTATTTAATTAAGAGTACTTGAGATAATATCAAGTTGAACATCCTTTACAATTATTCCACCTAGTATAATATACAATCAATTACATGTATATAGATGGAAAGGAAAAGCAACAGAAACTTGAATTACCTCCTTTAGTTTTCTTTCCTCCACCTTTCTTCCTATGGTTTCTCACTCACATTTTCACTTAATTATTTTTTTTTGGTAACCCAAAACACGCACTCACATTTTCACTTTATTATTATTTTTTTTGGTGATGACGCACCCAAGTTAGATAGGAAGATTCAAGTTTGGGAAAAGTTTCGAACCCAAAACCTCATTTAGTCCAAGAGCACGCTAGAGTAACACTGGGGACTTATTTTTTTTCGTCTTAGTCATCTAAAAGGCAGAATATTACTGTAAAAGAATGGGCGAAATGGTAGAATTGGGCGGGCATCAATTCAATCCTAGTGATTTCAAGCATATTATAATCACAGAAACTGTTGTGCAAACCCTGAAAACTTTTGTGGTTATTTTGCAGGGATTCATATGGTCGATTTCCCAGCACGGATTCACTGTACTCATTATCTGTTTACATTTGTTACTTTCAGTGTAATCACATAACCAGATTACAAAGCTTCATGTAAACTTATATAACGTGAGCTTCGAAGAAAACAAGAGTACAGAGGAATGCAGCTGGGCATCTGTCGCCCTTTGCTGCAGTAGCTGAAGCAGTTGATTCAAGCTTAGCCATTTCTTCCAGTGTCAACTTCACTGATAAGGCCTTGATGTTGCTCTCCAGGTTCTCAATCTTGGTGGTGCCAGGAATGGGACAGACGTCGTCCCCTTGGTGATGAACCCATGCTAAGGCCAATTGGGATGTAGTACAACCCTTCCTTGTTGCCAATTCAGTAACCCGTTCGAACAGCTTGTTATTGTGCCCAATATTCTCCTCCTGAAACCTTGGGATGCTCTACAAATGCAGCAAAGGTGCTGTAAAACATTAAAAATCATGGAGACGAATCGTGTCCATGTAGCTGTACTTTTTTCAAGTCTAGCCCAAAAGCATCACTTTTTACCAACGTTCTCAAATCCGAACAGAGAATTAATAACAAAAAGAAAAGCAGAAAAAAAAAAGATGATGCCATGCAATGTTTTGTACTGCTGCTTTACAGTTTCTAAACATTGCTCCAGGCACATACGTGCCAAGGTAAAAGCAAAACAGGAGTGCAAGAAAGTGTAAAATGGCTATTGGACTGATATATTACAATCACAGGGAGTTGTCACATGGTCACAAGAACCAGAAATTGCGAATGTTTAATGACAAATCCGAAATGAATCTGCAGCCACCTTGAGTCTAAACCAGATAGATCCAAAGTTCCTAAGCGAGAAAAAGAGAATTAAAATGAAGAGGGATACTGTTTTGGAATCTGCTTAACCATATAATGGTGCCGTGGATACTTATTTGCTATGAGATTCAAAATTATACTGAGGTGCAGTGCCTGTTCCAAATCCTTGCTTTAAGATTAACAAAAACAAAAGGTGGCAAGAGAGAACAATATTTCTAAGGAAGGCAATGGGGCGGTCACCGGCCCCGCATGGGGCGGGGCGGGGGGAATTTTTTAACCCCCGCTTAGAAATGGGGTGGGGCGCCCCACCCCCGGCTCATCCCCTGCCTTGCCACCCGCTTTAAATATATATATATAATATATATGTATGTATATAATTATATATATAATATATAATTTAATTAGTTACAAACTTATGACAATGATATTATTAGTTATATGTATTATATAATGTATATTAGTACATGTAATATAATTGATATTATCAATTATACTAATAATTATATATATGTACTCATACAAATTATTAATTGGTTATACTAAATTTACTAATACATTTATACTAAAACCCTAATTACACTTAATACAATAACATTTTTTTCTCAAAAAAAAGCACAAGCACAATAATGAATTAGTGATTGTATTTGTATTAAAAGTAAAAACTTGACTACTTTAGTTGTATTTATTACATCATGTTGGATTGTATTCAAATAATTTTTGTTTGATTGTTTTTACAAGTTTCAATTGTGAAATTACAATAAATGGTAATTTGATGATGTGTTGAAATTTTAGTACTTGATTATTTGTTAAAGTTTAACTACAACAAAATTATATAACAAATTTTTATTAGCCCCACGAGGGCACTCGCGGCAGAAGCGGGGATGGGGCGGGAAAACATTCTCCGTTATATTTGTATAGAATGTGGCCAGTAACAGCATAAAAAGAAGAAGAAGAAGAAGAAGAAATGTGAACAGGGACCAAGCAAGATAACAGGTAGGCATTTCCTGATACAAATAACTGCTTGTTTTCAGTTCTGAAAGATAGAAGTCAAGTAACATAGCAAAGTCATTTGATAACCAAACACAATGGAAAATATAGTCTCTAAACTTTGAAAACAAGGCAGTCAAGAAAACAAGATGATAGGTAATTTTTTTCTTACAAACAAACAACCTGCTTCCTTTTCAGTTCTGAAACATGGACTTCCAAGCAAGTTCAAGTAACACAGCAAATTCAATAGACAACCACCAGAAAAGGAAAGCATAGACAAGAAAACTTATGTACATGATCCAGTAAATATAAGGAAACCATGAATTTGATAAGCTACTTATTCCTATGCCTAGTTCCCTATAATTAAAAATCATCATGAATTAGTAAGCTGAGGGGGCAATAGAAGCTCCCAACGATGGAAGATTATTATGTGGAGCATATCTTTTGGATGACATGTGGGAATAGCCACTTCCTCAGCATCTCTTGTCCACAAGGACCATTCTAGTTGCACAGCTGTTATGGGATGAACAGCATGAGCCCTCCGGATTGTTTCCGGAGAGGCTTCAGATAGACCTATGCATCTTACTTTACCCTCTTCAACTAGTTGCTTCAGAGCTCCAACCTACAAGTTACAGGTTATAGAAGGATTTCAATTAACAAATCTGTCTAGTATACAAATCTATTTTGTAATTTCACAAGAAATTCAAAAGCACAAAAGAAAAAGCTTGGAGTCATCCACCAACTTCTGCCGAATACTTAAAAATGCAGCGGACTACTAGAGCCTAATTAAGCTATTAAAAAAAAAAGAATATTGCAAAAACACGAATAAATGTAAGGGGAGGGGGAATAAAGAGAAGTGAACATATTCTACCACAGAATTAGCGTGTTCTACTTGCATAAGTAACAAAAGATGGAATTTGATCTTGGAAAATTTAATGCACCTCACAATAATGCAAGTTTATTTCGATTTTCAAACTCAAATAGGAATCTACAGATTACATAAATAATGCTGCAAAACTTGAAGACTCATTCTACTCCATAATGACATGTTCTGGTCCATCAGATTTGCTTGAAAATCTCAGTGAACTAATCCAGGAAAGACCAATAAGATCTTCAAAAAGAAAAAAGATAAACATAAGGGCTGATAAGTATCAAGGGAAAGGTAAAACAAACCGTGATTTCAGTAGGAACCCTTTAATTAATTTAATGAACACAGTAACACTTGAAACTAACTCTACAGGTTTGCAAACTTACTCCTCAAAATAAATAGTACTGAAAACAATAATTCAATATAATCCAAACTAGACTTAGCTGCTGTTTACTTGCATAGGCTTCAAATGAGGAAATAGATTTGCTTTTTTGGTTTTCTTCTTTTTGGGTTTTTTTTTTTTGGGAGGGGGGGGGGTGTTGGGAGACCATTTCGCAGTAATGCAAATTTATCTAACTCTGATTCTTGGAGAAACTCCCAATATTATGATGAAATTCAACATTATTCTACAAATGGGTGTTTTTGGTTGTATGTTGTGGAGAAGAGGGTCCTAATGCATTTGTGGAATGCGAATACAATAGAGCTTGCATTTGGTAAATGTGAGGTTTAAAAAAGTTAGACCTTGATCAAAGTCCCTTTTGTAGAATGCTTTTACATTTCATCATGATTTTGGGAACTTCTCCTGATTCTGGAGCTGCAAACAGGGAATCATGGATTACATAAATGATAGTAGAACTTGCACAAACTGCAATATGACAAATTGCTCTGATTGATTATTGCTAAAACTCGAACTGCATTAATTAATCCAAAAGAGATTGATAGAAATAGAAGACTACGAAAACATATTCTTGAGGCAAACTTCGTAGCAATTTGAACTTTCTCCCTTTGCACCCCCTTCAATGCTTACATCCACAACATTCAAATTAAATTATCAAAAAGCAGAATACCATTCCCACAAAAATTCCAAAAAAAGAATAAGACAGAACCCCCCCCCCCCAACAAACACACCACAAAAAAAAAAAAAAAATCTCAATTGAGTTAGTATAGGCAACCCAAAAAAAAAAGACAAAACACCCCAGAAACAGTGTAAAAATCTTAACAAACAAAAATCCATCAATAAATCGCAAAAAAAAAAAAACAAAAAGACCAGAAATTGCATTAAGCCATCATTATACTTTCTTGAACCAAAAAAGTGGGTTCTGGCCATTTTGGCTAAGGCTTTGATTATACCTTTCCAATGAGGATTTCATTAGTATGGGTGCCATACACATCAGAGGTGTCCAGATGAGTGATGCCACAATTGATGGCATAGTGGATCAGCTTGATCCTATCTGCCTCAGGCTTTGGAGGGCCATAGCCAAAAGACATTCCCATGCAGCCTCAGCCTTGCGCTGACACCTCTAGGCCTTGTGATCCTTTTTTTTTTTTTGTCAGCAACGATACATGTGTATAACCTACTCTATCCTAATCTAGGGGGGAGGGGAGCCTAAGGAGGCTGTTATAGGGGCTAATGGGTATACAGACCCAACTAGACCCAACTAGACCCAACTAGGCCTTGTGATCCTATCTGCCATTTTTTAAGCTTTGTCAGTAATTTCTTCCAAAACCCTGCTGGCTTCTGTCTCCTTTTCGAGTAGAGTATTGAAAGTAGGGAGAGTTAACATGAGATAATTGGATGGTATGATGGCGTAGTTGGTGAGCTCATCACTTTCTGCCCGTCCTCGAAGATGGCATATTACTAGCGGAGTAATTGCAGATAATATATATAAATATGCAAGTGGCTAGGGTGTGTACTATAATGAGTTTGTTTGGATTGCGATTTATTTGTCAAAATATATTTGTTTACATTATTATTATAATTTTTAATACATTTTTTTATCTTTTCAATTACCTTTTTATACATCACATCACAAAAAGTGCTATAATAAAAATATCTCTAATAATTTACAATCCAAACAAATTCAATATTTCAGCGGCAAGTATCTTCCGCACAGACCACAACGAATCCTTCACTAGAGGGAAATACAAAAGGGTTAATTTCAAAAACCTCATTCATCCTAATATTACCTGTCATGTCAAAGTTTTAAAAATATAACTTATCTCGCCTATTAATAAGACGTGACTAGATATCTCAATCAAAGGTATTTTTTTTTATGGATATAATAGTTTCCTATACTATGAGGAGGGGAGGGACTAAGGAGGTTCCGGGATAATTCGATGGAAACTGAATCATCATTGGATCAGATGGGTACATTACGTACCCATATGGATTTTTTAAATAAGGCCACATTTAATTGTGGCAAATTAATAGGAGGCAAGATTTGATGCATTGATGGTGACTACCAGCCAATAAGCTGGTGGTTGTCTCAATCAAAGGTATTGAAACTCAATAAAATTTTCCTACCTTTTTAAATAGCAAAGGTTGGGAAAAGAAAAATAAAATCCTACAAGCTAAAATATCTAAAAACAAATAACAAGAATGCCATTGAAAATATTTTTCTCCCTCTTTGTCGCAAAAATTTTTGCTTTTAATGCTTGTCTTTGTTATAACTGATCTACTAAAATTTTCTCTCCAATTTCCTTTTTTGCAATAAAATTTTTGTATCTTTTTGCTATAAAATCTTTACTCTTAATTTCCTCATTGTTCCAACCAATCTCTCGAAGTTTTCACCTTTTTGTAATGTTGAAGTAGTTTCAGAAGTTATCCTTGTAGACAACAATTTATTCCCAACTAAACAACTTATATGTTTTCTAGTTACAAATCGACTAAATTTATTCCTTATTGCACTTACAAATTCTCACATTTTTAATTTAATATTCCACCTTTTTTTGTCTTTTTTTCATATTTCAAAATTCATAAATAAAATTGTACAAGGGTAAAAATGAAAGATCATATAATCTCTCTCCTTCGATGCATTTTTTAATATTACTTTTACACATTAGGGGTGACAATGTTACATAAATTGTCATTCAAGGGAATTTATGTCAGATTTCTAAAACTTCAAGAGTACTAGGCCATATTAGGATAAAACTTCAAGAGCACTAGAAAATCTCTTCCCGACATAGGGGGTTGCCGCATCTTTGAATATTATTTATAAGCCTCTAATAATTAATGTCCAATTATAACTATCTAATATAAATAAATGGAAAGTGTTATAATATTTTAAATCGGGACATTTAAATGTATAAAAAGAATATAATAAAAATTATGTAAATGTCAATGTATAAAAATTTACATACAGATTGTCTACTATGTAGACAAATGGTCAAACATGTAGGGTGATTTTCTGAGAGGTATGAAGAGACATTATACGCTCAAATAAATAATTCTTTGATAATCTTATTTTAGACAATGATATTATTATATTTTTTTAGTTAAAAAATATTGTAGTGTCCAGGAAATAGTGTTATAATTGTAGACGTAATTATAGAAATTATATAAGTTATTTTTACTAAATAAATTCTATAGGTTTTCATGATAATTTGTGATATTGAAATATTTTTAAAAGAAAATATCAATATATTTAAACATCAAAAAGAATTAGTAATAAGGACAAACAAGGAAAAAGGAAAGTGAAATATTTTATATAAGTATTATTTTTCATTTTTTGTAATAAGAAATTATTGCCATAATGTAATGAGAATTAGAACCATAACCCAATACTGTTTCACTCCTGGAAAGGAAGCTTCAATCGTAATTTTACTTGTCAATACAATCGTCCGAGCTGGTTCGGGTTCTAAGTTTAATTGCCAACCATAATAATAAAGTACAAACAGATAACAGAGCTGCTTCACGTAAACCATGTAACAGACCTTCAAAGAAAACAAGAGTACAGAGGAATCAGCTACCAAGAGCCATTACACCTTTCTATGTAGCTTTCCAAGATGACAGAGGCGGAGTATTTGCAAATCTCCAAGTATGTGCCATCATAGCAGGTGGGTATCTGTCACCCTTTGCTGCATTAGCTGAAGCAATTGATTCAAGCTCAGCCATTTCTTCCGGTGTCAACTTCACCGATAAGGCCTTGATGTTGCTCTCCAGGTTCTCAATCTTAGTAGTGCCAGGAATGGGACAGACGTCATCCCCTTGATGATGAACCCATGCTAAGGCCAATTGGGATGGAGTACAACCCTTTCTTGTTGCCAACTGAGTAACCTGCTCGAACAGCTTGTTATTGTGCTCAACATTCTCCTTCTGAAACCTTGGGAAACTCTACAAACGCAGCAAACATTTGCTGTAAACATTAAAATCATATAGACTGATTGTGCCCATGCACCTGTGCTTTGCTTTTCAAAATCTACCATAAAAGCATCACTTACTAAGAAGGCATTTGTAAATTTTACCACGTACATTCTCACCTCCGACCAGAGAATTAAATAACAAAAAAAAAAAAAAAAAAGATGATGCCATGACATCTTTTGTACTACCACTCCAGGCACATACATGCCAAGGTAAAAGCAAAAAGGGAGTGCAAGAAAGTGTAATATGGCGATTGGACTAATATGTTAGTACAATCTCAGGGAGTTGTCACATGGTCACAAGAGCCAGAGTAACAGTAAATGTTCAATGACATATCTGAAATTAATCTGCAGCTACCATAAGTTCAAACCAAATAAACTCAAGTTTTTAAGCGAGAAAATGAGATTTAAAATGCAGAGGATACTGTTTTAGTATCTGCTTAACCATAGTGGATACTTACTCACTATGAGATTCACGAATTATACAGAGGTACAGTGCCCGTTCCAGATCTTTGCTTTAAGATAAAAAAAAAATGATGTGGTGCTTTTGCCTGTTTCTAAAAGATGCCCTGTCAGATATGGTGGCAGGGAAAGACAGCAGAAAGCATATGAAAAGGAAAATAAAACAATGTCGCCAGTAACTGCTTGAAAAAATGGAAATGTGACCAGTGACCAAACAGGATAACAGGTAGGTTTTTCATAGCAACAACTGACTCCATTTCACTTCTGAAACATAGACTTCAGAGAAAGTTCAAGTAACATAGCAAAGTCATATGAGCCAAACACAGAGGAATCTATAGTCAAGAGAACTTAGTCAAAAACAAGATAATAGGAAGATTTTTCTTACTAACGAACAACTGCTTCCATTTCAGTTCTGAAACACGGACTTCAGAGCAAGTTGAAGTAACATACAAAGTTAATTGAGAACCAAAAACAAAGGAAGATATACGCAAGAAAACTTTTGTATATTTTCTAGTAAATCGACGGAAACCATGAATTCAACGTATTACGAATTCTGGAAAACACCCCATGGGCTGCAAGGAGGGGTCAACAATGGACTCAGATTACTAGATGTAATCTGCGATCGGAGTAAAATTTCACATTGCACAAGCCTTGAGCACATACCTTACGGAAGTCGTTACTAGTCAAGTTCTCCGTCAACTTTGTACCAGATGCAAAGAATCCTCTGCCCAGAGGACTGAATGATACAATTCCTATGCCTAGTTCCCTATAATTAAAAATCATCCTGAATTAGTAAGCTGAGGGGGCAATACAAGCTCCCAACTATGGAAGATTATTATGGGGAGCATATCTTTTGGATGACTTACCTGCATGTGGGAATAACCACTTCCTCAGCATCTCTCGTCCACAAGGACCATTCTAGTTGCACAGCTGTTATGGGATGAACAGCATGAGCCCTCCTGATTGTTTCTGGAGAGGCCTCAGATAGACCTATGTGTCTTACTTTACCCTCTTCAACCAGTTGCTTCAGAGCTCCAACCTAGAAGTTGCAGGTTATAGAAGGATTTCAATTGACAAATCTGTCTAATGTGCAAATCTATTTGTAATTTCACAACAAATACAAAAGCACAAGCAAAAAGGCTTGGGGACATCCATCAACTTCCGGTGAATACTGAAAAATGCAGAGGACTACTATAGCCTAACTAAGCTATAAAACATACACGAGTGATATTGCAAAGACATGAATAAAATTAAGAGAAGAAAAACCCGGGGGGGGGGGTGCGTGAACATATTCTACTGTAGAACCCTTTAATTAATTTAATAGTACTGAAAACAATAGTTCAATGTAATCCAAACAATGCTTGGCTGCTGTTTACTTGCGTAGACTTCAAATAAGGAAATAGATTTTCCTATTTCCTTTTTTGTTTTGGGGGCGGGGGGACATTTATCTAACTCTGATTCTTGGGGAAATTCCCAAGATTATGATGAAATTCAACACTGTTCTACAAAAGGGTGTTTTTGGTTGTATGTTCTGGACAAGATGGTCCTCATGCATTCGTCAAATGCAAACTCAATAGAGCTTGCCTATGGTAAATGCCAGGTCTAAAAAGGTTAGATTTTGATCGAAGTCCCATTCACCACGAGCTCGCATTGACCAAATGTCGGCTCACTGAACTCACATTCAGTAAATCCTAGGACCCTATGAACTAAAACACACACACACACCCTTTTTGTAGAATATTTTTACATTTCATCATAATTTTGGGAATATCTCCTCATTCTAGAGCTCAAACAGAGAACCATGGTTAGCATATATGATAGCAAAACTTACAAACCGCTATATGACAAATTGCTCTTATTGATTACTACAACTCGAACTGAATTAATTAATCCAAAAAAAAAAAAGATTGATGGAAATAGAAGGCTACGAAAACAAACCGTGATTTCAACAGGAATCGTTGTGTCAATCCGATGAACATAATACAGATCAATATAATCAACATCTAGCCTCTTCAAACTGGCCTCACAAGCTTCCCTCACATAGTCTGGATGGCCACATGCTACATGTTCTCCGCTTGGCAACATTCTTGCCGCAAATTTCGTTGCAATTTGAACTTTCTCCCTTTCCACCCCCTTCAATGCCTACTTCCACAACACTCAAAATAAATTACCAAAAAGCAAAATCCCCCAATAAAAAAAACAGAAATTTCCAACCACATCTCAGCTGAGTTAGTATAGGCATAAAAAAAAATCCAAATACAGTATAAAAATCTTAACAAACAAAAATCCATCAATAAATCGCAAAAAAAAAAAGAAAAGAAACAGAAATTGCTTTTGGTCTTCATTATACTTTCTTGAACCAAAAAACAAAAAACAGAGAGAGAGAGAGAAGTTGGTTTTGGCCATTTTGGCTTATGAGGTCTGACTTTACCTTTCCAATGAGGATTTCATTAGTATGGGGGCCATAGACATCAGAGGTGTCCAGATGAGTGATGCCACTATTGATGGCATGGTGGATCAGCTTGATCATATCTGGCTCGGGTTTTGGAAGGCCATAGCTAAAAGACATCCCCATGCAACCTAAGCCTTGGGCTGACACCTCTAGGCCTTGTGGTCCCAGCTTGATTCTCCTCACTCCTGCCGCCATTTTTGTCTTTATTGAGCTCTGTTACTAAATTTTTTCCAAAACCCTGCTGGCTTTTCTCCCCTTCTCTTCAGGTATAGCATTGAAAGTAGCGAGAGTTAAATAGAGAATTGGATAGTATGATGACGTAGTCAGTGAGCTCACCTCCTGGCTTTTCTCCTCTTCTCTTCAGGTATAGCATTGAAAGCAGGGAGAGTTAAATAGAGAATTGGATAGTATGATGACGTAGTCAGTGAGCTCATCTAGTGGACAAATTGCAGATAAGATCTGGCATGGACCCGACTATGGTGCAGATATATGTACCAAGTGAAAAGCTACCACTTCCAGCAACTTTGGACACTTTTCAGGCACGAACATTGAGGATGTCTGGTGAGCTGGTGGTAAAAGTGGGACCAGGGGCCTGGACGGTTGTTAGACAACCGTCCAAAAGCTTTTCATGGCCAAGATGTGATGGTCTATCATCAACGGTGAAAACGAAGCCACGTCGCAGAGTTATATCTACTGAAGAAGATGGCGTCGTTTTATTGAGTGGCAATTTAAAAAATAAAAATTTTGAAAACGGATGGAGCATTATCGTCAAATGGCGTTTGCATGCAACAAATTTATCCCGCCCAAATTATTAATAAAAAGTTCATTTTTATCAGAAATCCCCATTTCACTTTCCCCATTTCCCAAACCCTTTACCCGTTGTCTGTTAATGCAAAAAATCACTCCACAAAAGAATTGTCATTTCACTCCACAAAATCACTCCCATTTATCTCTCCATTGTCTGCTAATTTCCAAAACAACTGCCTGAATTCCTCCTAAAGAAGACCCACGGTGTTTTTTTGGAGAAGGAGAAACTGCATAATTCAAAGCCCTGGGGTGTTGTAATAGTTGGAGATTCAAATTTAATCGAGGCCAACTGGTGGCACAAGATCAACGAATCCATTGAATGGCAAGATAGGATATTTTACACTCTCTGTGCTACCTATGCCCTTGTCTCCTCTGTTGCCCTTGTAATGTTTATCCTCAACATTGATATTCTTCATTTCTTTACATTTTTTAATTCATTGGGGTCAAAATTTTCTGGGATTTTTGAGTTAATTTCTTATTTTAGTGAGTCTTGAAGTTTCACATTAGTTTTCGTGGGGTGGATTGAAGAAATTTTGGAGCTTTGTTTATTTCGAACTGGGTAGCTCAGCTGAGCAGTTAAAAGTGTTGAAATTATGCTTGTAAAAAAGTTATCTTTTTTATTTTTCTTCTTTAGGTTGCAAGCTTAATTAGTTTAGTACTTATTTTTTGTGTCTTCTTCTTGCTTACAACCCTTTTGAGGAGGTTCGTTATTTCAAGAGAAAAGAACTAGTAATTTCTCTGTAATGTCTCCTGTAATGTCTCCTAGTGGAACAACACAGGCTTCTGCAAAAGAATTTCTTGATTCCATTCTGGAAACTGTTATTAGGATTTTTGGTTAGGACTTAATACCTCTCTTTTCTTTAATTTAATGCCTGTAATTACTTCACTACTTTCTGAACAAATCATTATGATTGCAGAGAACCATGTTATTGTTGGAGAGCTTCTTGAGACAAAATCTGCCGAACAGGTTGACTTGAATACACCCAAATCCATAGTTACAACTAGTGCAATTCGACTTACAATTTGTTGATTTGTTTGGACAATAGAAATTGCAATGCATATAAAAGAAATTGTTGTAGGGAGTATAAGAACATCATGTGAAAGGTGACAAAAGAGTTTTTATTAGTTGCTTGCTTTTTTTCTGTACCTATTCTGAGAATGCAATAACTATCAATATTCACAGTTAAGCAGAATACATTCTTCCGTTATTGCTATTAATTTGTTATATGATTTTGGATTGAGAGTTTAGTCAAATAAAGTTGGCATGACATATTGTTATGTTGTTTGTATCAATTGATATTTTTCTTGTACCTATTACTTATTATAGTTTACAAACCCATATCATGGTAAAAAAACATAGTGTTCTTTCACCTGTGTATAGTGCACATGGTAAAGAACATACTGTAAGTATGATTATTCAATTGTTGATTTTCTGGTTATTTAGGAGGTCCTTTCATTAGGTAATGGCATAATATTCATTATTCAATTGATGGTAATTGATTGTTTACTTAGGAATTGTAATTTTGACAATGGCATAATGTCCATTGTTGCTGTTAACATCATTGAAAACTCCATGACTATTTAATATTAGGGAGTGAGGTAGGAGCAGTTGTTAGATCAACCGTCCATAAATAGTGTAATAATTGTTGAACATTTTGTAACTTTATGTAAATCTCTTGTACATTTGTAACAACAGAAGTGTGATAATATACTTTTGTGAAGAAACCTCAGGGGATAGGATATTGAAATTATCCCTTATGTTTTTGTCATGTCATTTATTTTGGTGCAGTTTCAAATAATACATTATGGGACGTCGGGGAACCAAGAAGATGAATCTTACAAAAGATAAAGGCAAGCAGGTTGAGAAATATCATGATAATAATCCAGTAAAGCCGGTGAGACCACCAAGTGATTTCATTGCATACAAGTATATATGACTGACTTTATAGAAGGATTATTGTCTACATTTGGGGCTTTGAATTAGTTAAAAAACTCATGATAAAATCAAAAGTCTATGTGATGGATCTAATCATATTAAATCATGGTAGGATTGACTTCACACGCAAGCAAAAAGCAAAGGGAAAGGCATAACAATTCAGGAGCTAAATATATCTGCTAGAAATGCATGGAACAAACTGAGTGATGAGGAGAAACTTGTATGGAAGAATAAAGCAGATATGAAGAAATATAAGGAGCTGATGAAAATCTACAAAAAGTCTATAGCGGACAGGGGAGAAAGCATAAAGAGTGATGTAGCGAAACAAGTAAGAACGTAGCATCAAATTTTATTGTTTTGAAATTAAATGTTTTAGAAGTTTCAAAGCGCAAATGCAAGTATTGGACAGTTATTTGTTAATTTTTATCAATATTGTTATATTGTTTTTATAGGCATACAAGTTTAGGTGCACACCAACTAAATTTTTAAAGTTTGTGGGTCGTATTGATGGGGCGAAAATAGCTGTAATAAAAGAAATAGGATTTGATGGATTACTGGAGATCCAATGCCACATCCTTCCAAGTATTATATGCATGTGGTTGGTGAATAATTTCAATTCAACTCACTCATATGTACAACTTGAAGGTGGACGTGTACTACCTGTAACATCAGAGGATATAGCAAAGGCTCTTGAAATTCATGGTGAGGGGCCAGTGCCGGTTGAAGATACTAGAGATGATGGAATTGATAGCGAGCCATATTATTCTAGGAAGAAGAAGTATAATTGGCATGATATAGCAGATGAGCTAATATCCATGGAGGTTGGAGATGAATTCAAGAGATTATTTGTTATTTTTACATGTGGGTGCTTGCTTGCTCCAACGACGAAAAAATCAGTTGTAATAAATGATTGACAAATATCTAGTAATTTATAGTTGTGTTACGTAGAATTTTGTACTTGTGTTGTGTAGAATTATCTCCTTTTAGGATTACTGTTGGGAGCAAAGTTCGCTAGTTATGAAGATTTTTACTACTAGTGGGACATGTAGAATTTTTTGTTGGGAGCAAAGTTCATTACTGTTGGTACAATGTAGAATTTTTGTTTGCAGTAGCCAGGGTTGGCACACCACGATTAATGTATAATTTCTTGTAATCAATTAAAGAGATGTAAATGGTCTAAAACTATTCTGCATTGATTGCAATTGTCAAACTACTATCTAATATAAAAAGAAAACAATCATTTTAGTATTACATTGTTCCAATCCAGTTCCAAAAGGGTCACAAGATGCATCCTCTTAGCATACATATTCATCGAAGGCAATTAACTTCTACCCATTTATATCGTAGGTACTTGCACTTTTTCGTCGCTTATATGTATGGGAGTACTGCTCTGTAACCTTTCCACAGAAGCTACAATGGGGGTCTGACAATCATTGAAACAAGCAATAAATTATTTAAATCAAATATTCAGTGTTCATAAAAGCATGCCCTGCAATAGTCTTGTAGCAAGGTTAGACTAATTCTAAATAATAACTTTAAATAAATTTTTTTAAAGAATTACTGACCATTAAGAATTCGGTGAATGAGCTGTACTTTGTCTTGTTCACAAGATCGTTAGGAATCAAAAGTGGGAGATTGTTACGATCTTGAATATGGATATTATGAGCAGTCAGTATTTGAGGAGTGATTCTAGGTTCACCGGGCTAGATTTCAGTATTGTACTGAATAAGATACTGTAAATTTGTCCAAAATCTTGATTATCCACACAAGTGCAATATCTCACTTACCATCCTACAAGACTGCATATCTGAGTGAATAACTGAGGATGATCTAAAATTTGATTCACTGAATGATTGTTATCACTAGTAGTACATTATATTAGTTGCAAAGTCATACTAACACAGTGTATAACAGCAAAATAACTACAAGTAAAGACTAAATACGCATTCTGTCCAAAATTTAAGATACTATGATGTACGAAAATTATGAGGCAAATGTGTACATAATGTATAGCAACGTGTTCAACTGGATTAACAATATGTAAACAAAAATCAATCGAAAGTATTCTAAACAAAAATCAAAATTCAGTACATATGTGACCAGAAATGAATACATTGTAAAGTTATACTACAAACTTATGGGCTTTTTATTGAAGTAACTATGCAACAGATTTGGAAAGGTCTTTTTATAGTGTGTACCAACTAAAATATACCGTGTACCAAAATAATAACATGATGTCAAAATTAAACAACGGGTGACAAATAATTGTAACTTGTACGATTTAAAAAATAAATGTGAGCAAATAAATTAATAATCTGTGAAAAATTGTATCCAAAGGTGTAATCATGTGTCCAAATGTAATAACGATATTTCAAAACAAAGTAACCAGTGGTACATGGTATCAATTAATGCGTACAACATATATATCAATTTGTACACATAAAACAACAACATATAAATGCTATTAAATCAAGAGATCGTCGTAGTGTGTACCAATTAATATGTACAAAATATGATATTACTATGTCAAAAATAAATAACATATGATGAACATCCTATCACTATTATGCACACCTTAATAACCAATGTGTACAAGTAAAACATTAATTTGTAACAACTAAATAACTAAGAGTGAACTATAATGCACATTATGTAAAGTATAAAAATAGCTACTTACTACCACAGAATTATTCGATGACAAACATTTGCTTGATGTTTGGCTTTGGATAGATTGATAGGATTCTGATGACTGACAAGAGAAGAATATACAACAATTGAATTGGCTTATGATAGTAGAGTCAATTGAAATGATATAGTTATGTAAGTCCAAAAATAAGATTCAGTACTAACCATCTCAGATAGCGTTTTAAGTCATCACGAGTGTAGCCAATATTGCCTAATCCACCTACCTCTTTTCCAATGAGTTCATGGGATTGTTTCAAGGATATTCCTGCATCATTTGCAATCTCAGCTTGGGCTCCTTGAGAAATACTTACTTTTCTTTGCGAACGCATCATATGAGCACATTCTGAAATGTGTATTGTGTGATTATACTCAATTACCAGATCTCGAACCTGATACTTCATTGTTTCTCTGTTCAAAATTATCCCTATTTTAGCTTCACATCCGATTTTTGTTTCAGCCCGAGTTCTCTTTGGTTTTACATCTCTTTCGTACCATCGTTTGAAACCTTCTTTGCAACATGTGTACCTTCTCGATGTAACTACACCGTCTTTATCCTTGTTCAAGTAGTCTTTCCGAACACTGAACCCAACAACTAATCCGTACCTATTGTAGAAGTTGTATGCCTCATCTTCTGACTGAAACTCCATGCCGATCTTAGGACACAATGTTTCCTCCATTGTGTTGTATTCGACAAAAGCATTTTTTGCTATTTTTTTTCAGGACAAACTATTATATTTATTTTTTATTTCCTTATTCATATCATAAGCACTTAATTATTTGTATTCACATATGTACATACTTTATAACATTTTGTAAAATAATTTTTATGGATATATATCTTCTCTGTAATAGGTAATCACATAAGTCTAATAATTTGCAAAGCATATTTCATTATATAATATATGCATTTCAAACAAATATTATAACCAATTTGTGTATAATATCAGTATTTACATACTTTACAATCATATGCACACACTTTATAACAATGTGTACCTCCTTTATATCAACTTATAACATAACAAATGCATGTATGTAAAATACACTTTTACATAGCGTAAGGTTTGACAGTGTTCTCAAAATCTATACATTGTCATTTATACCGTTTGTGTAGTTATTTAAGTTGGTCACATTGTTAAGTTGTTTTTACGCTTATGTTATTTTATTTGTACACATCCTCATTTATATTTTGAAATTCTGTACGGAATTTTTATTGTACAAGTTAACCATTCTCTGCAAAAGGATAATGACATACTTCTTATAATTTTCAAATCATGCTTCACTACATAACACATTTATTACAATCAAATTACATATAATATTAGCATTTACCTTGGACAGAGTTCACCATGCAGTGGATTTCAGATGAGCCGCTCACAAGTCTCGGCTATGCATTTGTTACTCGATGAATATCTATCTCAGTCATCCACAAGTTAAATTGGCGTGTATTGTTGCTGCAACGGATCTTCACAATTATCTTGTGCACACCTCAGATAAGATGCCCGTTTTGATAGGGTTTATTTAAGAGTTGGAAGAGAAGAAGACAAAGATTTATATCTATGTTATGCGAAATAGTTTGTTGAGAGAAGAAGAACAGAAGGAGCTGCAGCGACAATGTATTGTGTTCAAAGAAAATTCACTACCGCTATTTTCTTCCCACCTCTTTTAAGTTGAAAGAGTTTTAAAGCCTGCCAATCGTACCAAATGTTGATTTTCAAATTTTGATTTTGAATTTTTTGTACGCTTAACGGCTAGACCAAACGGAGTTACAAGTCAAGTTTCTAATGGAGCTACAATCCTCTATACTCATCTCCATTTTGTTCCCCATATTTTTTTACCGTTGATGATGGGCCCACCACATCTTGGCCATGAAAAGTTTCTGGACGGTTGTCTGACAACCGTCCAGGCCCCTAGTCTGTAAAAGTGGAGGTTCAGCTGGGCACCGGTAAAACGGCAAAAGTTTGAAGTGACGTCTCAAGAGTGCAGCCCTAGTCCACCTGGAGTTGAGGACATTTTTTTAAATGGAACGTAGTTGTACGTTTGTAAAGTGGGATGTTGCTGTGATATGTTTATTGGTCAAAAAAGAGATGTGGAAAGGTAAGGAAAAAGTCGGGGCAAGCAATTGTGGCCACAAATGATAGAGAATGTGCCTTGAATTGGCACATGTAAAGGCATTTTATGACTTGGAACTTGAACAGCCGTTGGGTGTTAAAGTTGAGTGGAAGGGCCATATGAAAAGTTGGGGGATTTGAAAGCATAAATGGAAAAGGTGGAGTGCCTAAAATAATGAACTCCCAAAGGAAGAGGGTCGCGAGCGAAACTAAGGGCATTGAAAAAGGCGCCAAGCTTGACGGAGAAACTAAACACTGTACGCATATAAAATGAACAGGAATTACCGCGAAAAGGGTATTCGTTATGGAGTTAGCGGCTGAAATAGATGTTTCAAAAATATATATTTGTATATATCCTAGCATGTATGTCTATATATATATTTTTGTGAATGGGATAACTTTGTACAAGCTCGGATGAGTGATATTTTCGAAATATCATTGAACTCCACTGAGTATAATTTCGTTTCTCGTGACAGTAGTTTAATATGCCAATATCAATGGTGAAAATTATCTAATAATACTCTCATATTTAAATTCTAAATTTTTTTCCATTTACATATAAATTTCCTACTTTTTTTAGAACGTGTATACATTCATACATTTTAAAAATATACATTTATACATATATAGATATATGGATATGTATGTCTTTATATAAATATATTGTGAATGGAATAACTTTGTAGAACCTCGGATGGCGTTATCTGAAATATCATTGGACTCCCCTGAGTATAATTTCATTTTTCGTGATAGTAGTTTAATATGTCAATATCAAAAGTGAAGAATTCTCAAATATTACCCTCATATTTACATTTTAAATCTTTCTTTCATTCTCTAAATTTCTTACTTTTTTTTACAATGTGTATACATACATACATTTTCTAAATATATAATTATATATATACATATGTATGTCTATATATATGTGGTAAATTCTGATGAGATGTTAATTGTCGGTTATTTTATTATTAATTTTCCCCGTGTCCCTGCCAAATATTGTCTTAATTGTTAATATCTACTTATATTTGGTATCTGGACTTAATTTTAGAGAATGGAACAGAAAATTACAAAAAAGGAGGGACTTTCTGAAGCAAATTACTTCACACGTGGGAGTCTTCTGCAAAGCTCCATCAACGTGGCCCACAAGAAGGAAGAAACGGATTTCCGTTTGCTCTTGCTGATGAGGAGTGGCTGGTACAAGGAGTCCTACTATGAATAGGAAACGAGGAAGAACTTCGGCAGAGCTCCAATTCTTTGGCTCTTTGACTCCCAATTCGGCGGGGACCACAGGGATAACATTAGTCATCTTTCTTTTGGGTTTAAAAAGGGACAATCGTGCAGAGGCTTGGGGGGCTTAGTCTTTAGAATAGTTTTAGTCTTTTCTTTCTTTTTCTTTGTCAGGCGCACGCCTACTGTTCGACAATATTCCCCAACGAGAAAAACATCTCTTATTTCTCGCTTCCTAGTGGAAAACTTGATGCCTTTGCAATCAATTGATTTGCGTAGAGATTTATTTATGCGGTGTGGCTAAGCCTGTCATCTAATCGAAGGCCAACTTGAAAGTGCGGTTCCAAATATCTGTGAGATAGAATTAATTTTATTTATTTCTTTTGTTCATTGGTATTTGTACGTTTCTTGATTTAATTGCTTATGCTTGTTATGTTATTTGAATGTCAAGGGCCCGATATTCGAATTAACCTAATGATCTAATGCCAAATTAATTGATTGAATCCGTAATTGTTCAATCGATTAATACCAGTGGCGACTAACGTGATTGGTTTCATGTTAGGGAAACGTATGATCTGACTTAAACAAACCCTCGTAGCGTGTTTGTTGGTTAGGATTGGGCTTTTCTAATTATTAATGCAATCGAGTAATTAAATTCTATGATCGTACCTAGGGTTATTTTTTGGTTCGAGAAATAGTTAACGGTCATACCTTAACTATCGAGAAATTAAGGAAAGACTGGTTGTTCATCGCGTGTATGACAACTATAATCAATCTAATAATGAGTAATTGAATTATCTTTGCATCGATGATCAGTTGAATGGATCGTATCTGAAAAGTTGCACCTTTGGCTAGAGTCGTATTGGTTATAGATTAATTCCTGTTTATTTTTATTAGTTGTTTCATTAGCTAGTTAATTAGTTATTTTATATTTTTCAAAAATCCCCCATGCGCTGGACTCTAGAAGAAACTAATTATCCCCAATCCCTGTGGATTCGACCCTGCTCACCGCTATATACAAAATTTATATTTTTCTTGAGTAGGTAATTATTATTGCACAGGCTCGACACCCTGTCAAATTCATATATACAATTAGACTTGCAAATGTCAATGCAAACTGCTGTGCACTTGAACCTGGAATAATGGATAACTATGCAGTAATGTATTTCTAAATTATAATAAATAGAATTTTGTTTTTCTTGTAGTTTTTGTGATTGTGATCAAATGAGGTATGACTATGCAAGTGTATTTGTTTTCAAATATCATTTTTACTTTTCAAATTTACAGTTTTATCCGTGATTGTACAGCATTATGATGTAGTAATAATACAAAAGAAATACCATGTAAATGATGATAGTTTTTTTCAAATAAACAAAGTGGTTTACGAATATTCCTATCTAGCGAGCAAAAGGGTAGTTAGGATATTTAAAAATCTTGCTAGGGAAAAATGCACTTTTCATCCTCAAAGGTTGGGTTGATGACCAATTTCGTCCTTAAAGTTTCATCAAGAATACATTTCATCCTCAAAGTTCCTGAATTTTTGCCAATTAGAGACAATTGACATAATAACAATCAATTTGGACGGAATGCTGCACGTGAGAAGCATGCTCTGTTAGAACCAATAAAGAAAGGATAAAACCCATTCGGAAGTGCAGACACCAGTGTTATAACTTTTGAATTATAAAATTTGTATCTTTACATTATTTTGTTTATGGTCCATATTCGGTAGGAACCATGTCAAGGACCACTTGGAATGCATTTTTGACAAGCTTATACCTCTTTCTTTTTTTTATGATTTTAGTTGGTTATATTAATTTGGTTATAGTATCCAGTTTGGTTGTTACTTCGGATTGTTAAAATTTAAGGCAAAATTCTACCAAAATTTTCCTTCTTACCTTATTGACAGGCAAATCAGCATGAAGATAAAAACAGTTGGTGGTTTTTTTATATAATGCCCATTTTAGCTTGGAACTGAAAATCATACTCATAAATAACTGGTAGTTTTTTCAAAATAATGGATGAAAGCAACAAACAGCTGGTAGTTTGTAGGAAATAAAAGAAGCTCACAAAGAATCCTAAGCACAGCTAGTATTTTTTTCATTTCTAGAGAAGGGAAAAAAAAAGAAGTTATAAAGAGGTGATAATTTTTGGACAAGATAAAAGTAAGGAATAATTCCAGAAACCTCCCCGAGGTTTCTGACAATTTCACTCACCGCCCTTAGTTTTGAACAATTACATTAACCTCCATTCATGCAGTAAAATAACTATAATATCTTTCACTTATAGATAATTTCTAAAAAAACCTACAACTAAAACTAATCTTTCATTTTAAAACAACG